CAGACCTCGCAATTGCGAGGTCAAGCTTTGCATTTGCGACCACTGATGGATTCGCATTTGCGAGCTACTCATCGTATTTGCAAAGAGTAGATGGAGAGACCAGAGTTCGCATTTGCGAACAAAACTTCGCATTTGGAAAGTGGGACAGGGGGAGGCAGTGTTCGCAAATGCAATGAAATGGTCGCATTTGCGGAGGTCATGGTTCACAATTGCGAACATTTATTCGCATTTGCAAGGAAAGGAGAGTTGTGGAGGTCTTCGCATTTGCGATGGATTCTTCGCTTTTGCGGGGTTCGCATTTGCTAACCCAGGTCGCAAATGCGACATCTACAACTGATCAAAATGTGACTTAGATAGGATTTTTGATTCATTCATCAAATTTTAAAACTCAAGAACCCTAGATGCGACTTTTCAAAGAACTTTTCTTTCACAAATCATGGGTAAGTGATTCTAAACTAGTTTCTTTTAATCTTCCACTACATTTCCTTAGATTTCAACCAAAAATCTTGTACTTTCATGGTGGAAATTGAGGTCGGATTTCAAAACAAATTACATAACCGGGCTCCGAGGTGAATGGGTAATCGGATTTTGGCCTGAATTTCGGGTTTGGACCAAGCGGGCCCGGGGTGTTGACTTTTTTAATAATGACCTAAATTGAATTCCTTGCAATCGTGGGTAGTTTCTAAGGCTTAATTTGAAGCATTTGGTTGGTAATTTGCTAGATTCTATTGGTTCGGAGGCTTGTTTTAAAGACCAAGCCGTGGTTGAACTTTGAATTGTCCCTTTGGAGCGAGGTAAGTATCGTGGTCAACCTTGACTTGAGGGAATTGGACTTGCTTGTTTATTTGTTACGTGTTTAGATGTTGGGGACCACGTAACTGTGAGGTGATGAGTACTTATGCGTTGTTGTCGGGTTTAAGCATGCGGGTGTGACTTGATTTCTTGTAATTATTGCTTTCTTTGATCATGTTATCCATGTTTAGACTAGGTATTGTTAAATTGATCGTTCTTATCATGTTTACAGATTTTTGGTGATAGTTGAGTATTGATTTCAACGTTGAGGTTGGTATTGTGGAACCAAATGTTGAAGTAAGGCTTGTTCTTGTTATTCTATCTCCCTGTTGTATTTGTTCATTGCTTTATGGTAAGGGAGAGTGTTAACGCACGATGGGTGATGCCATGCCATATTGTGAGTGTTAATGCACGAAGGGTGATGTCGTGCCATATTGTGAGTGTTAATGCACGAAGGGTGATGTCGTGCCATGTTAAAAGAGTTAATGCATGAAGGGTGATGCTGTGCCATATCTATTGATTTATATTGTGAGGTTGAGAGTATAAGCACGAAGGGTGATGCCGTGCAGTTTCTTGTTTCACTGTGAGGTTGAGAGTAAAAGCATGAAGGGTGATGTCGTGCACTTTTCCTTACTGTGTTTAATTATTTTCACTGGTCAAAGGCATATTGATTGCCCTGGTTATCATTTCTGCTGGAATTCTCATATCTTGTATTCCCCTCTTTAGTATGCCCCCCCCCCCTCCCGATATTACCTGTCTAGCTCTTATTTGTTGTTATTTTTTACATATACTATTAATTGCACAGGTTCATTATGTAGGTGTCTTTTCATAGCCTCGTCACTACTTCGTCGAGGTTAGGCTCGACACTTACGAGTAGATGGGGTCGGTTGTACTCATAGTACACTCTGCACTTCTTGTGAAGACTTTGGTACCGGCCCAAGCTGATCTCAAGGTTAGCAGCTAGACTTGCTTGTCGGAGACGCAAGGTAGATCTGCTGGCGTCCGCAGACCCTGGAGTCCCTTCCTAGTTTCTTTATTATATTGTTTCCTTTCTTTCAGAAAAGTTGTATATTCTTTCAGACTTTGTTTGTAGAAACTCTTAGAAGCTCGTGAGCCATGACACCAAATCCGAATTATATCAGTTATTATGGGTTTTATGTTATTCCGCAAACTTAGTTTCAACTTCTGTTTAGCTTAATTGTTTCTGTTATTAAAATTGACTGAATTTGACTTATGAATCCTCTAACATTGGCTTGCCTAGCAAGTAAAATGTTAGGTTCTACCACGGTCCCAAAGGTGAGAATTCCGGGTCGTGAAATAACTAGGGGTAGAGCTACAGTAGAATGTGCGGGTTCGGACGAATCCAATGGCTTTTTTCCGTACCATGTATTTGTATTGGAAAATTTGTTGCATGTACATAAACAAAGCACGTCGAACCTAGTAACATAAGGGCTTTGGGTTCAGTGGCAAAGGTTCTGGGTTCCAGGGGAAGCGCCTAGGTGATAACATCATAAAATCGAGGGAATTTGAGACATGAAATTGGGTGAGAATCCCAAATTATGTAATTAGAAAAATGAACCATGCGGAACCTTCTGTACAAAATATCCCTCTATATATTTACAATATAAAGTCATGTGAAACGACTATAAAGGACACATTAAACCCATCCATAACAAATCAAGCCGCTGAAGGGTTGACTTGGGCCTGATCCGTAGATTGGGCTTAGACTGTTGTATTTCTATCACCCTACTCAAGCTGAAGGTCGACTGGACACCAAGCTTGGACAAGAAATAATGGTGAGGAGCTCCAAATAATGCTTTAGCTAGAAGATCAGCAAGCTGATCAGCAGAACATGATGTAGAGAAATAGTCCCAGACTGAAGCATGTCACGCACATAGTGACAGTCAACTTAAATGTGTTTGGTACGCTCGTGGAAGACCGTATTCCTGGCTATGTGAATAACATATTGACTGTCACCAAATATAGGGACAATCTTAGTAACTTGATACCCTAGATCATGAAGAATTTTGACCAAGCAAGACACCTCAACAACCATTTTGCGCAAAGCGTGATACTCTACTTCTGCAGAAGATAGAGAGATTATTGGTTGCTTCTTGAATTTCCAAGAGACAGGAGAACCCCCAAGTGTGATGTTAAATCCACTAACCGACCTTCTAAAAATTGGGCAAGCAGCCCAATCAGAATCAACATATGCAATCAAAGAGAAATCTGGAGAGTTGTTCAATAAGATGCCTTGCCCAGGATCATTTAGTAAGTACCTCAAAACATGAATAGCACTGAGATGTGAGGGGCCCTAGGATCCTTGAGAAATTGGCTCAAGTGTTGAGTTGATTAAGCAATATTCGGTCTAGTGTGTTGTAAAAAATTCAACTTACTAACAATCCTTTTATATACAGAAGGATCTGGAAGACAGTCACTTTCAGTAGGAGAGAGCTTGACTGAGAAGTCTAAAGGGGTGAGAACAGGAGTCAAGGAACCACAGTTAAACTCATGAAGTAGATCTTGTGTATACATCGACTTGTTGATAAGGTATCTATGAGGTGTCTGATGAACTTCAAAGCCCAAAAAATAGTGTATTGGTCCAAGATCTTTAATTTTGAAATGAGTGTCCAAGGGGGATCTAAGGGCCACCATTTCAACTGTATCAGTCCCGGCTAGCAATAACAACAGAATCTCCAAAACACTTACAGCTTGTTTGGATGGTTGTTACCCATTAGGATTGTATTGTATTGTTATCCCAAAGAATATTTGTTTTGATTATTTAATTAAAATTGATTGTATTGTATTGTTAAATCCATTATTCCGGAACAATGAAAAGTCCCATTTTTTTAAACAACAGATTTGGTGTGGTGGGATTGTTTCCTATTTTTCTTTCCAATTCTGCCCTAACTTATTACTCCATTATTTTATTTTACCCTTTACCTTTTTTTATTTTAACTCCAAATCTCCAACCTATAACATACTTTGTCTTCGTCATTTTTTCCTCATAACTTCTGCCACATCCAACTCCAACCTAAAAGGTATAGGTTTTCCTTCTTTTTATTTCGTTATTTCTCCTAATGTGATTTTAACTCCAATTCTATTTACTTTAACTCAAATATTTGTTCCTTTATTCTACCAATTCTCGTTCTTTTCTGTATCATAGTTCTTTAATTTTTTCTAGTGATAGTTAACTTTTTTCTTCAAGGATTTTATGGGATATGAGTAATTTTCGTCATAGATTATACGTCACGTTGTTAGAAAAATATAATGTTATACATTTTAAGTTATGGATTATATGTCATATTGTTAGAAAATGGTCTAAATTCTAAATGAAGTGTACTTAACATTTTATTTTTTGTTTTATTATTATTATTATGATATAGTTAGGAATGAAGTGTACTTATTATTATTTTTGATATTATTAACTTGTTATATTAAATTTGTTAGAATTTACATGAATTTAATTGCTTAATTATTTATAAGACATATTTGGTAATAAATTAGTAGAAAGGGAATTTCTTAAATCATTTTTATGCGTAATTCTTGATAAATTTAATATTTAAACAGTTAAGGGTATTTTGGTAAACTTATCAATTACAGTACAGTATGATACAGTCAAATCAAACAGTAAAATATTATTTAACAACAGCAAATAATACAATCTATCCAAACGTTATATTCATAAAACGAGATAATACAATATGATATAATACAATACATTATAAAACGATGGGCAACAACTATTCAAACAAGCTGTTAGTAAACAAGGAATAATCATTTTTGCTAGAGACATACCCTTTAGACAATAAGGATTCACATAACTTGGCAAACCGCTGCCTAGAGGCTTGCTTCAAGCCATAAAGGGATTTTCTATGTTTGCAGACTAAGGTAGAGGAATGAGAGGTAGAGGATGTTGCCAGGAGGGATATGCATATAAACTTACTCATGCAAGTCACCATGCAAGAATGCATTATTGACATATAATTGCAATTGAAAAAAGGTCCAACCCTTTTTGGAGGCAATGGAGAGAAGGCATTTAATGGCAGTGATCTTAATAACTGGAGAAAATGTCTCAGTATAGCCCACACCCTCTTTCTAGGAATCTCTCCTTATCACTAACCTAGCTTTGTATCTCTCAATGGTGCTCTGCTTAACTTTATACACTCATTTGCAAGGTATAGCCTTCTTACCCGGAGGAAGAGGAACTATGCCCCAAGTCCTATTTGTATCAAGGCGTGAAACTCCTTCAACATAGCCTCTCGCCAAGCAGTATCAGAGGCAGCTTGTTGGTAAAACTGAGGCTCTAGTATATGAATCCCAGCAGAAGTGATATTAGAAGAAGGAGCAACATGAGAGCAAACATAATCTTGAAGATAAGAAGGTGGGTTGGAAGTTCTGAGAGACTTTCTAAGAGGAGGATCAAAAGGTGATACTGGTAAGGGTGTGGATAAATGAGAAACAGGTGAAGGAGTAGGTGACAAAGGAAAAGGAGAAGCAGAAACAAGTGGAGAAGGAATTAGAACATAAATAGACAATGAAGGGGATGGTTGAGAGGGGGCAGATGGTAGAAACTCTATAAAATTTGAGCAAGAAGGAGAAGATAAAATAGGAGAAGGGGAGGAGAAGAATGATATGGAAAGACAGTCTCATGAAAAATGACATCTCTGGAATAAGGAATAGAGTAAGATGAAAGATTGAGAAGTTTGTATCCCTTTTACCCTAAGGGATACCCAAAAAACACAAGCAGTTGCCCTAGGTTGAAGTTTGGTTCTACCCTGCTTAGGAAGAGTAGCAAAACATAGGCAAGCAAAACACTTTAAATGATCATAGGATGAGGGGGAGCCATGTAATTTTTCAAAGGAACAAATATTCTGTAAAACTGAAGAGGGAAAATGATTAATCAGATACGTAGCAGTTAACACACAATCACCCCAATATTTCAAAGGAAGCTTAGGCTGATACAATAGAGCCCTAGAGGTCTCAAACAGGTGTTTGTGTTTCCTCTCAATCACTCCATTTTATTGAGGGATGTGAGGGACTATAGTTTGACGTAATATGCCAGACTGAGAAAAAAAAGAGGAAGCTTCAGAGTTGCTACCCAACTCATATGCATTATTAGATTTTATGGTTTGAATGGAAGAATCAAAATGATTCTTAACCATGAGAACAAAACCTTTAATAATGAATAAGGCATTACTCTTGCAAGAGAGAAGGTGTGTCCACGTAACTCTAGTATAGTCATCTACAATGGTGAGGAAATAACTAAAATTATTGTAGGTTTTAACATAGTATGGTCCCCAGAGATCAATATGTATAAGCTGGAAAGGTACACCAGTTTTTATGGTACTATCTGAAAAGGGTAACCTTTGTTGTCTTGCCAAAGGGCATACAGAACAAATAAAATATTGTTTGGATGAAAGTTTATTCTTCAGAAAAGGAATAGACAACATTCCATTATAAGGCATGTGACCCATTTTTTGATGCAAAAAAACAGCAATTTTGTTCATATCAACAGAATGTACAATGTTGTTAGAACAAGAAATATCATTGCATGAAAGAGAACTATTTACAAGGGGAATATGAGAAGATACTGAAAGGGAAGGAGATGGAGAAGGAGATGTATGAGCCTGAGAATGATGAATGTAAAGTCTATTTGCAGTTCTATCAATTGTCAGTAGCCTCTTCAGAGAAGGGCCTTACAGAGTACAACAACATTTGGTAAAAAGAGCAGAAGAACATTGAATTTGATCTGAGTAATTAGCTAATAGAAATAATGTTAAACTGGAAAGATGGTACAATCAAGACATCGGGTAAAGTAATATCAGAGTTCAAAAACAAGGAACCAGACGAGACTACTTTTGCTTTGTAACCATTAGGAAGAGTGACAAGTTTAACCATTACGAAAAGTGACAAGTTTAGGAAAAGGTAGAGGAGAAACAGTAGAAAGTTGTTTATGAGATGTGATGTGGTTAATTGCCCCTGAATCTAAAATCTAAGGATCACTTTTGAACTAGGATAAGCAACACAAAAGAGTTCCTACAGCAGCAACAACAGGACTACTCAACATACCTGCAAAGTTTGCAGAACTAGATGCACTGGCAGAAGAGGCTTGTCCAACTTGACTCAAATGGACTTGTTGGAATAAGGACATGAGATGCTGGTATTGTTCTTTACTAAACCCATGGGGATTGACTTCAGCAGGTTTGGATGTACAACATTTAGGTTTGGAATTCTCAGTTTGGACACAAGATGTTGAACTCTTGCCCCTGGTAAACTTGAAGTCAGATGGATACCCATGCAACTTGTAATATTTTTCAATTGTGTGTCCCAGTTTCTTACAGTACTTGCACGAAACTCCTCAGGAAAATTTCTTAGGATCAAAACTCACACGTGGATTGTAATGTCTATTGTTGGTGGTGTTATAAGTGGACACAACAAAGGATATGGAATAGGCCTTACTTACTTTAGGATATGGAGATATCATCAGTATGGTACTCTTAGCCTTAGAGTAGGAGTCATTGAGACCACTAAGAATTGGAAAAGTTTTTTATCTTCAGGGAATTTAGGTAGTGCTCCACACGAATAGACAAATCCTACATAAGCTGTGTGAAGCTCATCCCACTAGCTTCTCAGTTTAGTAAAGTAGAACTCAATGTCGGAAGATTCTTGTGAGATAGAATTAATTTTCTTATTTATTTGAATGTACTTAGACCCATTAGATTCCCCAAACCTTTAGTTGATGTTAGTCCAAATTTCTTTGGAAGTATTAAAACCCAACACACTCATCGCAATGTCTCGCGACAAAGAGTTAGTAATCCAGGCAATTACTATGTACACTCCCAAAAAGGATAGTAAAGGGAATCAGGTGTTGGCTGAAAAACCTTACCATTGATCAATCCAAGCATATTTTTGGCGAAAACCGAAATTAACATGCTTTTACTCCAAGTTACAAAGCCACTTCCACTGAATGGAAAAAATACCAATTGAGTACCAGGACTGTCTGACGGGTGAACGTAAAATGGATAAGACGGAGGAATAGAAATCATCAAAACCGTCGCTGTTAGAAGTCCCACTCGTTTGACCAGACGAGTTGTTAGTCACACTCCCTATATCAGAACTAATTCACACACACACACAAAAAAACTCAATGTAGGCACTCAAGGAAAAAGGGAAAGAGATGACAAGCCGAAGAAGTAAAAAGCTTCAATACCACCAGCAATACCAGCAAACCCAGATAGTAGCATCCAATCACAGTGAAATAGAATAAAAACACCATAAATTAACTAGGAACAACTGCAAAAGAACAAAATCAGCAGAAATCGGGAAATCACTAGAACAGAAAATCTAGAATTGTTGGGCGCCGAGAACTCCAATAAAATCATTCAAGGGTAACATCGGAATGAAGAGCTGGTTGATAACAAGGAATTTTAGCCTATTTTATGCTCCCTTTTGTTTAGGTTTTAAATTAAAAATGTGTACAAGTATTCGCGAAAGCTAACTTATTGTGCTTGTTCGCAGTGTTTGGTCAAAAAGTTGCAAGAAAGTCATAACCACCTTATAAAGGAGTGAAACCTGCATAAGTTCAAAGCTGAGCCAAAAGCGCTGACAGCGAAGAAATAGTGCAGTCGCGGAAGGTCCACCGCTGAGGCATTCTTAGTTACGCTCTCAGCGGACTTGAGGTTCAGAGACAGCAATTTTGGCTCAATAGACACCACTGCCCGCGGTGAAATTGCACGGCAACGGAATTAATTGACGCGGCAGCGGTCCATAGTCCGCTGAGGGCGAAATGTAGAATCAGAGGACTGGAGAATTGAGCTCAAATGAAGAGCGCGGTCCGTGGACATATTTCACGGCCGCGGTTGAAGACTACGCTGAGGCGGTTACTTTTCCGCTCCCAGCGGAATCAAGTCCAGACCAAGCTCAAGAGAGAAACTACGCGGTTCGCGCTTGCTTTTGCGCTGCCTCAGAAGTCCCAGCGCTGAGGCGCTCAATTTTACGCTGTCAGCGGAATCTCCGTAGGGGCAATTTTGTCCGAAAAATTCAGCTGTGTATAAAGAGTTCTTTTTCAGATTTTTAGGGTATCTGTTATTTTGTGGAGCACGTGAACATCCGCTTTTTGCTTTTTAGAGTAATTTTAGAGCATTGTTAACTATTAATCTTAGATTTTACTTTTGTAATTACTTTTTATGGCTTATATTTCATATTCTCGTTTGATTTCTTCCTTGATTATGAGTAGCTAAACCCATTAGCTAGGGTTGTGGCCCAACCCTAGTGTGGGTATTTAGTGGTCTTCAATTTTAGGGTTTAATTGTTTATGGGTTAGTGATATTTAGCTTGTTTCATGCTTTAATTGTTGAATTGGTGGTTGCAAACACTGATTCGTGCCTATTTGACTTAGACTCTTCTTGAGAAAGAGAGACTAAGTCTAGGAAATTCAGGCTAACAAGGAATTGGGGTGCATTCAAGAGATTGATAGCCCCAATTAAAGGGTTAAACCTAGAGATAGTAATACCCGACTTGAGCCAATTGCTTGCATTGTTGAACACCCAATTGGGCTTGAGAAAGCCAATTAGGGCAAAGTCACTCAAACTACTGAGAGGTATAGAGTGAGTAATTATGTGCAATGGTTATATCATGATCCCAATTATAACAAGTTTGCCCTAAGTTTTACACCCCGTTAGATACTCACCTAGGTGTAAGTCACTTCCCTAGTGCCTTTTTACCAATTGAGAAAACCCTTACGAGAAAATACCGTACTTAGATTATTTTCATCTTTCATTAGTGTTAAAAGTAGGATAGATACCAAACAAAGCATGATTGAAAGTGCAATTAAGAACAACGCACATAGCTAGATTAGATAGAAACCCAATTCCAAACTAATATTAGCTCTACGTGAAAATCGATCCCGACCCCTCGGGTAAAAGCTGCATCGACCATTCTTGATATTTTATAGTGGTATAGGGTTGGAACCGATCACTGGTCGAGAATTACATGATTTAGAACTCTGATACCATGATAACATCATAAAATCGAAAGAATTTGGGACATGAAATTGGGTGAGAATCCCAAATTGTGAAGAACGAAGAGAGATATTATTTGATTTTGTGTAATCAGAAAAATGAACCATGCGGCACCTTTTGTATAAAATATCCCAATATGTATTTACAATATAAAGTCATTTGAAAATCCTATAAAGGACTCGTTAAACCCAGCCGTAACAAATCAAGTCTCTGAAAGATTGACTTGTGCCTGATCTGTAGATTGGGCTTGGACTGTTGTATTTCTATCGGGAGAAATTCAAAAATAGCCAGATTTACCACTGGTCGTTGAAAAATAGCCAAGTTTCAAAAGTCATCGAAATTTAGTCACTTTAAATCTGAGCGAAAACACTGTTCAAAATCCGGAAAAATACGCCCACAAATTTTACGGGAGTTCCAGCAAAATTTACGGGAGTTCCAACAAGTATAATTGTCCAGTATAATATACTGGAGTTTGGAGCACTGGTGCTCCAGTCTCCCGCAAATCTTACAGGAGTTAGCAAAGTATACCGGTCCAGCATAATATGCTGGAGTTCGTACACAAATGCACCAGAACTCCCGTATATTATACTGGACCGGTCCCTGTTGCAGTAAAATAGTAGCTATATTTTATTGACTTAATAAACGCTGGCTATTTTTCATTGACCAGTGTGAAAACTGACTATACCATGATATTTTAGCATTTCTATCACTAGGTCCGGTTCCCCTTGAAGGCAGCGTGTATTCTTGTTACTTTTCTTCTTCTTCTTCTTTTTTTTTTAAAAAAAAAGAGAAATCTTTACTAACTAAGAAATAAAAGAACGGTGAAGTTTCAAAAGAAACGAAGAAACCTCCGTACAAGCTAATTCCTTCAGAAAACTTTTTCCTTTTTTATAAAGAAAACACAAATTCAAATCAAATCAAATTTAAAGGAAAAGGCATCGTTCCTTTAAATAAAACACAAAGGTATGTTTCCTTTTCCTTCACAATTAAATTCCCCCAAATTAAACAAATTTATGGTTTTGCCTTTCTGTCCCAGTTGTTGATCATCTCCGCCTCTGTTGCTCTGGTGTATATCCATTCTTCTTTCTTCTTTTCTGTTTTTTTTATGTTTCCCTCTTATATTTTATATTTGTTTAACAATTCATACAAAATCTGATTTTTAATTTGTGCTTCCCAAAATTTTGATATATCTTGAAGATCTTAGTTTTGAACTTGACAACTATATTGACTATGTGCGAGAAATGGATAATGTATTCTCTAACTTGAAAGGGCTTGGCGATTTCTCGAAGACATCGGTTAAAACAAATATTCACAAAAAATGGAGACTTGTTTATTTGCTTGTGAAGCTACTTTTGATTTTTCCTGTGGCTACTGCAAAAGTTGAAAGGACTTTTTCAATCAATGAAATTTATTAAAAATAACTTGCGAAGCAGGATTGGTGATGACTTTTTGAATTATGATTGTTTAGTTTGTTATATTGACGATGAAGTATTTGAAATTATACCTAATGATGCGATCATTGATCGTTTCAAAACATGATAAGTCACCAAGTGCTATATAAATGGTAATGTTTATATTCATATATTGCATTTGTGTGGTTCATTATTTTTTAAATATATATTAAATATCGATACTCATTCTTTAATCAACTTGTTATTGTATATTAATTTTAGGTCATGGTCTTATCTTAAAATTTAGAACCCATACACTTCAAATCTTAACTCTGCCTCTATTCGTAGCTTTTTCGAATGGCTTCCCTTGCCTATCAGATATGAACGGTTTTGTTGCCAAACTGATAGTTTTTTTTTTTTTGTAATAATTAACAAAAATATCAATGTTTCTTAATCAGAACTTCAGCCTGTAATTTGGAGCTCTTGTAGTTTATGGCCCCGCGAAAATCATAAAAGTCGCATCATAAAGATGCTTAAAATGAGTTTGATTCTATTCCAACACTTCAATATATCTCCATCTGAGTACTTTTAGAAAGAAATGGATTAAAGGTGGATGCATCTCTTGGATCCCCAATGAAATAGAAAAAACTAGGTGGAATGGCTAGTTTTTGATCCGGCAATCAAAACGTAGCTACCGTTCTAAATATTATTAGAAAGTAACCACTTTTAACGCAAAAATTATTCAAAATATCCCTAACTAAAATATGGAACAATCACAGCTAGAGCTGTCAAAACGGGCCAGCCCAGGTCGGCCTAGCCCAAGCCTCGTGGGCTTTTAAATTTGGCGAGCTAGGCCGGCCCGGCCCGCCATACGAATGGGCCTTAAAATG